ACTATCTGCCCTATTGCATGCACCTTGCTCGGAATGCTCCGCGGCGCGTTCACTGCTCAGCTTCTCATCGCTGCTGGATGATACTCGTTGTTGTGTTATTAGACATTCTAGAATCTAGCTCTCACACACACCAGCATGTCTCGAGCTGCTGCTGCTTCACAGAACTTGCAAATTAGCCAAGCCTTGGTCAGAAGTCCCGGTCCCTAAGCTCATCTGCAATTCAAATTAAGAGCATCTTGGATTGACGATGATACAGACAGCCGAGGAAGATGTACTTGCCGCTACATCTCAAGCCGAGGCTCTTGAAGCAGCTATCAACGCCGCCGAGCACTACATGAAAGCCTTAAGCTTGTCGTCAACCTCAAAGGACAAAAAAGCTCTGGACGCTAAGTGCAAAGATTGGCTTCTCCGGGCCGAAAGAATCAAGGTAGCGAAAGATTGGCGCCTTGCGATTCTCGACCATGGCAGCAATGACCCAGTGACTCGTTACCCTAGATCGGTGCGCAAACTCACAACTCGGGAGGAAATCATTCTTCTCGAGAGTGCGAAATTGAACCATGCGATCTTTCCACCATGGTCAAGTGCTCCAGGATTTGAGGAGTTCGAACGTCAACTTGGGGAGGACCTCTTTACGTATGTGGAGTAATTATGCACTTCAGCACAAGAATCAATCTGACCTGGACAAGAGACTCGCCAGAACTCCATCTCTCAAGCCAACAGAGGGATGTTTTTGCGGGCTGGAAACGACCAAAGGAGCTGCTTTTGCAAAAGCACGCAGGAGAAACAGACATTCCCACTGTCCCGGCGATGGCTGTAACAGAGAAGACTGATTTAGTGCAGGACATGGTAACAGATTGCTCTGTCGTTGCTAGTCTGTGCGCTATTACATCTAGGTACGAGCGTGGAATAGATAAGGTAAGCCAAGTCACTATGGAATCGTGACATCTTCAAGCGAATTTGACAGTTGCAGCTCCATTACCCGGTGGTATATCCCTGCGATCTTCGTTACACAGATCCCAAGCTTTCACCTTCGGGGAAATACATCTTTTGTTTTTATTTCAACGGGTGTTTTCGCAAGGTGGTCGTAGATGATCGCCTACCATCGTCGAAAAAATCACGGTCACTTCATGTGGTCGACCGAAGCAATCCTTGCTATATATGGCCTGCCTTGGTGGAGAAAGCGTACCTGAAGCTTCGCGGGGGATATGATTTTCCTGGAAGTAACTCTGGAACAGACTTGTGGGTGCTGACAGGATGGATCCCCGAGCAAGTCTTCCTTCACCATGAAGACGTCACTGGCGAACAGATCTGGAGGCGGCTTTATAAATCATTTCAAGCCGGTGATGTTCTACTGACAATAGGTACTGGAAGATTGACAGAAAGGGAGCAGGAGGAACTTGGCTTAGTGAGTGAGCATGACTATGCCATTCTGGATATGAAGGAGACCAAAAGCCGCCGTCAAATGCTCGTGAAGAATCCATGGGCTGGCGATTATGACCATGACAGCAACTTCGAACTCAGCTCTGGCTACGAAGATACGTCTCAAGTCTCACCTGGTATCTTTTGGATGGACTGTGAGGATGTTCTTCAGAATTTTGAAAATCTATATCTGAATTGGAATCCCTCCCTGTTCAGATGCCGACAAGATCTTCACTTTACATGGGACCTCACAACTGATAGAGGACTGGCTGGTTGTTTCGCCAAGAACCCTCAGTTTTCTGTGTCCAGCAATGCTGGCGGTACCGTCTGGTTACTGCTTGGAAAGCATTTTCGGACAGTCGACCATCACGACGAATCTGGGCCATCTGCCCATTGCGACGAGCCCGGATTCATCAGCCTCTATGTGTTTGATGCAGGTGGTCAACGAGTTTCCTTGAGTGACGGGGCACTTCATCGTGGCCCCTATGTTGATTCGCCGAACACTCTAATGAGGTTAGACATGCCTTCATACACGACCTACACCGTGGTAGTATCCGAGCAATCTTTACCATCCGCAAAGCAACATTTCACACTATCTGCACTGTCCTCTAGCCCAGTGAGTATCGCGCAGGCGCAGAATAAATACAAATTCACAACAAAGGTCCATGGCTCCTGGACCCCGTCGACTGCAGGAGGGAATGCAGAGTCAGCCCGATATCCATTCAATCCCCAATTGAGCTTTAAAATCAGCAGTGCAACCGATATTTCGCTTCTCCTCGAGCCAGAGGAGCCCGACTTAGCAACGCATGTTAAATTGTTCTGGTCTAACGGTCAGCGTATCTCCCGAGTTCGAAGCCGCGACATTGCTGCCGACAGTGGGGACTACCGTCGCGGCGGCTCGCTTGCAGAGAAATTGGGGCTTAGTGAAGGAGTCTACACAATCGTCTGCTCGACTTTCGCGCCCGATCAATTAGGAAGCTTCAACCTCTGGGTTTCTTCCTCCGGCCCATGTGAAGTAAAGCCGCTGGCGCCAGAAGCCGCTGGCCGACGCGCAGTGATATCAGACATTGGAGTCCTGTCCCCTGGGAAAGACCGGATGCTGGCGCCGCTGGAGACCCCACGGCTGACGCGCCTTAAGATAATTGGAAGAAGCAGACAGTCCACGATTGCGAGCCGACCCGTTGGGCCTTCGCCTATGTTGATGACAGTCGAACTCGGCCAAGGACCTTACAAAGAGATACTAGCAACATCTGAAGACGGAAACCACAGTGATGCCATTTCGGGTGTGCGCATCGAGGACTTCAACCTGCACCCTAACCTTGAGGACCGTGGCGGAGCGTGGATTGTCATCGAGCGGATTGGAGGACCTGGAGGACAGGTTGAAGACCACTTTGAGGTGGAAATTCTAGGTGAAGAGAAGGTGTACGTTGGAGAATGGATAGTTGAGGATGCGTGATTAACCTATCTAAATCAACAGACGGCTGTCTTGTTGGCTCGAAAGCATAGCGCAGGCCATTACACTGTACCTTAAGAGCATTCTGCATGCTAATTCTCCCGTCAAGTAAAAATTTCAGAAATAACTTGAGACTTGAATGATCAGAAAGTGACGCTCAGGGAGAAATTAATATCGAGGTGGATGATATATGATTCCGCTTGTGGTAGGTCGCCAAGCAGCAAAGCAGGAGACCGTAGCTGTGCCGAGGCGGTTAGTCTAACGTTCGGTGCAGTTCCCGCTCCGGAACGTCATCCCCGCCTGCATCACGTTATCTTTAACCCCTCCAAACAACAAACAACATCAGTGCCCCAGAATCAACTTCGCCATACCGACCTAATGGCCAGCAATATCCCCGCGAGCTTGAAATCCGCGGAGATTGGGCGATTTGCCCTCAGGGCAGCTCAGCTTGAACGCGCAAAGCCCGTTGTGGCCTACTGGTGTAAGTGTCATTTGTGCGCCTAAAGTCAGTGCTGCCTGAATGTGATCTGAAGCTAATCATGGGTTCTTTTCCACTTCGTAGGCAACTTTTGGATTGTGAATCAAATCATTGAGAGAGGACTGCACACCTCTGATGATGAGGTTAAGCTGTATACGACGGAGCTGGTGGACAAGCTGGAGGAGGTAAGTCAGGCGCAATTGCTAGCCTAACCCCTTGTGTGCAGAAGCTGGATGCTGACATTGCCCTCACTCTCGCCTCAAAGTTCAAGAACGAAAACCCCGACAATGACGCTGTGACGGATGCTGTCGCAGCTAATGCATATGTAGAGCAATTTGCTCTGGAGGTCCTTGGGCGTGCGGAGGCGACGATGAAGGCCAACAAAGTGACGAAGTTCGTTCCGCCCTACGCAACAAGTTCAGATAGGATGACAGCTAACCGTAGCCATAGACAAACAGCAGATACATTTCAGGCGGCTGCCACTTTTCTAGAATTATGCCAGATTTGGAACCCTCCGGATGCCGAAATCGCTGCGAAGATCAAGTTCGCCAAGTATCACGCTGTCAGAATCATTAAAGCAATCAAAGCTGGAGAAGATCCGAATGCGTCAAACCCCGTTGCTGCTGAGGAGGAGGAAGACGCAGTGGCCGACCTAGAGCCTAGACCAGACGATCCGGAAGTGCAGGCCATTGTCGGATCCCTGCCCATCCAGCCGAGGCAGCCGTCCGTAGAGGACGTCCAGGATGACTCTGAAGACGCGTCGCAAGCACCGCTTGTCTTACCAGATACACCAAACACAACTAGAGACAGTGCCTCTGTCTATCAGCGGACTGGATCACCTTCCGGAGTCAAAGTGGAGGACGATACAGAACAAGGACTGGAGCTACCCTCTGCACCAGAGACATTTGCATCTTCATCGGGCCCCGTACCTGATCTCCCGGACACCCCTGGGAAAATAGACGGGAATCGTGCTCCTGCGCCTTCCGACTCATTCCATTCCTTCCCCCCACCATCCAACATGGGACCCGCAACTCCATCCGTGCGCTCTCATGACGCCAGCTACTTTTACAGCAAATCGTCACCTAGTACCGCAGTGCCTCCACCTTTCGTGCAATCTACATCAGGCACGGTCCCTGTAGTTACCCGCCCAGCGCACCAGAATTTCCCGACCCCCACGCCTCGAGCGCCAGCACCTGTTGCTTCACGTTCTGGTCCAACGAATGCGCAGCCAGTTGACGATCAAGCTATTGCGCTTGCACAGAAGCACGCTCGCTGGGCGGTATCGGCACTGACATTTGATGATGTCAATACGGCTATCAAAGAACTTAGGAACTCACTGCGCTACTTGGGAGCGGAATGAGGATATCTTCCATGTATACCTAGCTCAGCAAACGTTGTTTGTCTTTAGAGATACCTTTTCCCCAATTCTGTTGTTAATGCGTGTCAGCAATTGTTTCATATCGTGACACCCCATCTTTAATGAATTGATGACTTCCAATTTCTTCTGTTCTGTTTGTCACTCTTGCGAACTCTATGTCCCTGAAGATATAGCGATATCTATCTTTCCTTTTTGTTTCACCAGCCGGCGATGGAGTAAGGAAGCATCGTCATGTTCATTCCAGATCAAGACTGACTTGCAAAACACAAGCTCTCGTCACAAGTGCAGACGGAATATTTTCCAAACCATCGCCGCGGCGATGACAAGAAACACGAATTTCTGACCGTCCTTCACTGCAATCATCACCAAGCTTCCCTCTCTGAATTTTCTACTTGTTCACACCAAGCAACACAGAACACCCACTCCCCAGTTTTCCTCAAACCTTCAACGCACCTGCTACCGGACCTGTTTCATAAGGCTAGCTGACAAGAAAGCCTTTAACTCCAAACCAACCTTCGTCCTTCACTGATTATCTTGACTGAATCAAGAAGCTTATCTCATCATGGCACGACGGTCAATCACGTCCAGCACGTCTTCGGACGTGACCTATAACGTGATGAAGGCTGGACTTGATCAAGGCGCGCTGAAACCAGGAAATATAGACCGGGATTTTACCAAATTTCTTGACCTGAAATCAGCGCATCAACGCAAGTTTCTTGAGAGTCTTCGAGACCACGTCCACTTTCGCGGCTTCGAATGGGGCGAGTTACTGAACTCGGAGGCCACCCGACGAACCTGCGCTGAGATTTTTGTGGACAGCGTCGGAAGAACGTACTGGGGTACTGAAGACAACCGTCGTAAGTACTTGATGGAAGACTCATTCAACGATCCGAACGCTCTTTGCATATATCCCGATAGAAGGGAGGAGTAAGTTGCCACCCTTCCCCGTGGCATTCACTGTCACTAAGTCCCACATTCATGGCCATCTAATCAAGCTAACACTTACAGGATCATCCGAACTATCATGATTCTCATCGAACGCAAGGCCAAAAGTGCTCTGAAACCACGCACTGACAAGGAACCTTCGAAAGTGAGACCTTCCCTCTCATCGAATGTATGTACCTGCCAAAGCTTCTTTTCAATAATCCTAGATGTATGCTAACGTTGACCGCGTCACTAGGATAATACCGGGTTCACGCCCCTCGATACCAGTACGAATATGGCATCACATATGACCTCTTCTAGCAAGCGTGTGATGACGCCAGCGCCGCATGTCGCCGTGCAAGTCGAACGCAAGCCCAAACGCAAGTCTAAGAGTTTTTCAGACGAAGAATACAGAGAAACAGACTCCGCCGTTGATGACACGGATGATGTTCAAGAGCACACACCTTCCATGGCCCGTCAAGTGAGACGTTCTTTAACCACGCGGATTCGCCCTTTCAAGTCGATCATGACTTCCCAAGAATGCGATATTGACTCCGATAGCGATCCGATGATGGTGGACTGGCAGACCAAGTGGAGTGACCCTGCGAAGACGAAGCAGGAGCGCTCCCGTCCCGTCAAGATAGAGCCTACTCCCCCTGCCAACAGCTTCGACATCGAGAAGCCGGACTACTCTCCGATCAAGATGGAGCCACCAGCAAGCCGCAAGAAGAGAAAGTCCAAGAGCAAAAAGCACTCGCTCATCAGACAGGAGTCACCGGAAGTGATGATGAACCTGGACGAACCTGTTGCTGACGACACCTTCACCATCACCACTGTTACTCCAGGCGTCGAAGCCAATCCGGACGATCCAGAGGATCCCGTCTATTTCCTCGTTACCGCGACCTCCCAACCGGGCATGGGCTCGGTCTGGGTCCCCTACCGCGACTTCCGCTCGGCGGAGGAGTTCATGCGCTGCCTGCGACAGGAATGCCGTCTGGACAACTGGAGCCCGTCCCGCCAGCTGAGCCACGACGTGAGCGGCCACTCCCCGACCACCATGAAGCCCGTCGTGGTGGCCGCCTCGGTGAAGTTCGACTGGACCGACTTCGAGATCCGCGTCCGCCAGCACCACGACCAGGACTGGGCGATGGTGCAGCAGGAGCTGCAGAAGTCCATGGAGGGTCGGACCCAACTTCTGGAATCGGGATCGCTGACGTCGGCCTTCAAGATCCGGGTACTGCTGCACGTCGTGGAGGAGGATATGCTGCTCGCGGACCCCAGGGACCACTGATTTGGATCTTGGGCTTTCCAAGGCAAACAGCTAATGTGATATGTTTGGTCTGACCAATATTTACGTACGGTGGTGCACTGCTACGTTATCCTGTTGGCTCAGTACAGTACCTACTTGACCGCAACCCCCCTCTATCCCCCCCCTGCTGCTCCATGGTGATTTCTCTTGGGAATGGTTGGTGGTGGCCGGTAGAATATTGTTTTTGTTTTTGTTTTTTTTCGTTTGGAGGAATACTTGGCTTTCCCCCGGGAAGGTTGCATAGAAATTCTGAAGAAGAAATTGGTTATCACCTCCGAACATCTTGCACGTCATTCATTTTGTCGGACATCAGAGCCAGAGGATACTGATTCCAGATACTAAGAATTAGCCGAGCTACTTCGTAGTCCGTACTCAGTGTATCTAGACTGCCACGTCCTTGGGGGAGCCGAACAAAATCGAACCTCATTGAATTTTCGCACGAGCCTTCGTACCGCAGAAGTGATGCGCCTTACTTTATCGTATCTAGTAGTAGTCTAAATTGTCGAAGCCTCTAAAAAGTCTAAAAAGGTTGCTTGCAAAAGACAAAAAATGGCCGGGGGGGCTCCGGAGGGGGAGCTTTTGTTGAAGCCCCTGCACAAACCATGGGATGACGATCACCCACGGTCCTTGGGACTGGGACTGAAAGTCAAAAAATGATGCGCCATTCAGTCTTATTCCCTCCTAACGTGGGACCCCCCGGGAAAAAGGAAGTTTGTTTGGGGAGTTTTGACACCGAGGTTTAATTTATCTTTGTTTCCTCTGAAGGGAGGGGAGAATCCCGAACAATTGCCGAGATTTTGTGATACTCATAGACACTATTACCCCATAGTCTTCTTTTCTCCAGCACACCGAGACTAGGAGGATTTTGGAGCCTCGATTCGCCCAATGGCTCGGAATTCAATTCCAAAATATACATATAGGTATCCCATTCCCAGTGTTGGTTAATCGTGTTGTCCAAGCGGTCTGATCCCGTGCTACTGGGTTGATGGGCCCCGTTCCGGCCAGTCTAAATGCCCGAATGAAGTGTGGGTTGATTAGTGAAGAAAATGAGAAACGGAGTCACTACTTCATGGAGTACTAGTATGGATGAATAGGAGGAGAGAGAGGGGGGGGGCGGGTCGAAGTGAAGCATCACCGAGGTTGATATCAATAGTGATGGTTCCAAAGTTGCCGCCGCGGATAAGCGTTCAATAGTACCTGAATTGCTTTTTTACGCCCCTTTTCGTCCTTTTGTTCTCTTCGATCCGTTGCTTGTGGCTCTGTTTACAAGGACGTGGGCTCGTTGAGGTTTGTTTGTCTACCTCGTCTATCCGATTGGATCAGTATTGACGTGTGTAGATAGGAATGCAAAGCAGAGGAGGGGAAACGTCCAGGGAAGATCTAGGCTGAGTCGCAGACGCGATTGAAGCGAATTGCCGACGCCCTATGCAGTATGCAGGCACTTCTCCGGCGTCAAACTTGCGATATCGCAAATTAGTAATCCAGGAGGAATCACGAGCAATTAGTAGTGGCTACCCACCAGCAAGCAGCCTTGACTCGTAGCATCATTTTATGAGACGCAGATCATCGATGCTATTGTTCCCTACGGTTGATCATCTCAGTCTCTCCCAGTTTCACAATTGGCGGTTTGCGCGCCCATCGCCGCCTTTTATTGTTTACCCTGCGTTAAGCATTTAATCTGGGATGCTTGGGTCATCTTGTCTTTTTCTTCGTCTGAGACTTTCCTTTTGAGGGGAGGAATTTGAGCGTGTTGTGGTGGCAAAGCGGGATTGACAATTCAACATCATCTTCATGTTTGCTTTGACAATTGATTTTCTTTTCTTTTTCATTTCCTTTTGTTTTGCAACGGATACGTACTCGACATCCCACCCCTTCCCTTTCAGGGAATGGGGAGGCAATAAATGGGTTCAGAAACCCACTTAAAGGCGGGACTATGATCGGACGGTGTCCCTGACGAACGGACAACGTCCCACACCGCGTGCTTGGCAGGGGACGGATTGATGAATCCATTTGCCTTTCCTTGGTTTGGGGACCTCTCCGAAATGCTCGAGGGACGCTTAAAATTCGCCCACTTTCCTGTACGAGGGCAAAGGAGCGAGTGGGAAGCCCTCGCCGGGGGCGTGTGGTATCCACTGCGCCGGCGAAATTTCTAGACGCAGCGCTAGCGGCGTTCATTCGGTAAAAGAAGCGGTTTGGAATGATGATGTGCTCCCCCTCTTGTTCCATGCGAATCTGCAGTTTGTTATTGGTGGCAGCGACGGCGGCGGCGGCGGCGGCGCTGCTGGTGGTGGTGGTTTGCAGACCTGCAGTACAGTACCTAGAGAAAGGCCTAGGTAGGAAGATAATCTTGCTTGGTAGCACCAATTTTTTGTTGGGAGGGACAGTCAATACAATAGAGGAGTAGAATGGTTGTTTCCAGTCGCATCACCGGGCCACATCATTCGCATGGGTGGGAGTTACACCAGAGGGAGATGGAGAACAGTCTGGAGAAAAAGGGCATCGTGATCAGCATTGGAGTGACATGATGCCTCTCTGTCTCTCTATCTCTCACAGGCTGTGCGCGACATAGGGTGAAGATTTGGGAAGGGGGTTGGTTTGGAATTATGTTGTCTACCGCGTTCTCCAGTATGGTGGTCCGTTCGTATGTCTCAGCTTGGGGACATTGAGGAACTGAGGATGGGGTGGGTGTATACAGATAGAATCCCTGGTCAGGCAAAGCTCCGCATAGTCGGCGGACTGAGTCTACTAGTTAGTAAGTGGCTCAATTAGTCACCAAGACTTTGTTGACGCGCAAAACGATGAGTATACATGATGATCACATCAGAAACCACGAGAGTACTCCGATGTTGAGATAAAATCAAGAGCAAATCTGAAAGCGTTGGTTAATTGATAGAGGGATGGATGGATGACTTGGGAAGGGAGAAGCAACAAGAACAAACAGGCAGGTCGTTAGTTCATCATGATTATTATTATCAACAGGATTAATATTATTCTCATAGTTCGTTGGTCCCTCCCAAAAGAGAAGATGGATGAGTGGATGGATGGATGGCTGCTTTCTCTTCTCCCCCCCTCCCCGTCCGCCTTCTCTTTCTCTCCTCTTCCTCCCTCCTTCATCTTTCTCCTCTTCGATCTCCTCCTTTTCTTCCTTCTCTCCTCCCCTCCTCCCCTCCTCACTCTCTCATCCTCCAATTACTGACATTAATTTCCTTCTTAATCATATATTGAACTATTAACCTCTGCTGCATCTTCCGTGACAGCATTCCTCCCCCCCCTCCTCCTCCTTCAGCTTTTTCCCTCCCTGCGTCTCTTCCGCCCCCTTTTCCTCCCCGCATTCTTCCATTGACTGGTACGCGCTCGGGTGCGGGGTGTGCCTGTCAACAAACTGCCACTTAACACGAGCTAGTTCACTATCTGAACAAAGCTGAAGCTTCTCTTCTGTCTCAACTCCTATCACTAAGCTCGCTTCTTGTCACATTCCTCGTCATGGCGGATGATCAGGCAAAAAAGCCCGCCGTTCTGATCGTGGGTGGTCTTGGTATGCATGCCTCATGATGGTTCCTCTTGATCGTGCAGAAATCAGCTGGGTGTTGTACAATCCGACTTACATGCCATTGCGTTTGTAGGGTTCATTGGTCGCCATCTTGCCCTGCATATCCACGAAAACAACCTGGCCTCGGAAGTCCGACTGGTCGACAAAGTCCTCCCTCAGCTTGCCTGGTTGGCCCCTGAGTTTCAAGAAGCTTGCTCGAAAGACAAGTTTGTCCAAGCTGATGCCAGTCGAGAACGTGAGTCGACAAACTCGATCCGACTTGCTTTTGCGCGCATGTCATAGCCTACTGACACTCCGCGTATTTGCTAGAGCACTTTCCCCGGATCTTTGACCGTGCCAACGGCGAGCAGTTCGACTATGTGATAAACTGTGGTGGAGAAACCCGACACTCGCAGCCTGATGATGTTTACGAGGTCCGCAGCTATGCCCTCACCGTTGCCCTCGGTCGCGAAGTCGCCCGTCGAGGCATCCGCTCTTTCGTCGAGTGCTCGACTGCACACGTTTACAAAGGTGGCTCGAGTCCGCGCAAGGAGGACGACAAGTTGCAGCCCTGGCACAAGCTCGCTAAGTGGAAGATGAAGGCCAGTGAGGAGCTGCAGAAGATCCCCAACCTTCACTACTGCTTGCTTCGGTTGCCACACGTCTATGGCGAGTATGATTCCGGTTATTTTGCAATGGGTATCTGCCTTGCGCGAGTTCACTTGGAATTGCAGAAGAACTTGGAACTTCTGTACACAAAGGACCTGAAGATCAACACAATCTACATCAAAGATGCAGCAGGTGCGCTCTGGAAAGCAGCAGAATGGAGGGCAAGCGCTCCGACGGATGGGTCGGCCCCCATTGCTTTCAACGTGGTCGACCATGGTGACACTCGCCAAGAGCACATAGCAGATGCTCTGTCGGAGGTGTTCGGCATGAAGGTCGAGTTCCTCGGTTCTTTGGCATCTCAATTCGCTAAGATGAACCTGGACGATGTTGTGGATGATATGAACGAGGAGTGCCTGCAGGGCTGGGCCGACCTGCTTGAAGAGAAGAAAATTCATAGGCCAGGACCGATCAGCCCGTTCTTGGAGCGGGATGTTCTCAGGGACCAGGACATGTCCATCGATGGCACATTGTTTGAAAAGACCACAGGCTGGAAGCCTACTCGTGAGCGCTTCGATGCTGATGCTGTTCGGGCCATGGTTGAAAGCTACAAACGAATGGGCTGGTGGCCTTAAACATATGGGTCGACGCGAATCTCTTTACTGACCACCACTTTCTAAACATGATACGCGCAAGTGTCATCGCGACCGATTCGGACGAACCCATTGCGTGTGCTCTGATACCCCGGCCGTGAATCACTACGGCCTTGCACCAGGTCAGATCAACCTGACTCGACCCGCCAATTTGATAAAAGCACCTAGACTTTGTTCACCCATTGAATTCCCTTCGCTTCCGGTACGGACACTGTACAACACGGAAATCACGGATCTTGTGCTTTGTAATATTATTATCCCATGCTTGGGACACTCTGGGTTCCTGTTATCGAGCGATTGGTATGTACTACTATATTCTTGACTTTCTTGTCAATTGGTGTTTGGAGTTTCACGAGTCCCCATGTTCTGATCATGACCTGCATCTACACAGCTAGTTTTTCTTCTGCCGCGCTGCATCTCGATAGGCTGAGCCTGTTTTGAGAATGTTGATACCTCGTGATTCTACAGTCGTTTTCTGTATTTTACTTCTTTGCTGCACTCCATCTTGGCCATGGATTTCAGCCCCCATTTCCCTCCCACCTTCAGGAGTTGTATTTCTTCATTTATCTCTTGTGATCTCTCCATACTCCTTCGCATCAATGAGGCATGAACAGGACTCAATGATGTTTTTTTGCGCGTCAAAAATGATATTTATCTTCTCGGATAGAAAGGCCAGGTCGGCACGTCGCACGCAGGCGTGGCTCTAATCCATGTGTGATCATTGCGTTGAGCATGTAAATCTCAACTTCTCGTTTCCTTCTCAGTATAAGTTATGTAGTTTTATCGAAATCATTTGGGGGGGCGGCAGGCAGATATCAAGATGAGAGAAAGACCACCATACCGGAAAAAACACATTCCTTCCGTCCATCAACGCTGCTACTAGACTGTGCACAGAATTAGAACCCGGGCAATTCGAAAATACTCATCACGTGGTCTGTACATCGATCCCAGGGATCGTCATTGGGATATCCCAAGCTGACATGCGACAAGAAAAGATACACAAAGCCATCTGACGTATACTTAACAAGGATATTGTTCCTATACTAATCGTGCCACATAAAAAATGTTTATATGAATCTTATGTTCTTGTCACTGTATTTGTCTTCCTCCATCTGCACGCTCCTTTATAGCGCTTGTTTCCATTCGCTCCCTTCTTTTTTTTGCTTTTCTCGTGCAATATGAAGTCTTCCCTTCCAAGGTTCTCCATAGAAAGAATAGATAGATGAAATCAGAGGCAGACAAAATAACAAGACGCGAGGCTCCAAGAAATGCAATCAAAGGATGTATTGGGGGCACGGCATGCATTGTTTGCCAATAATTCACGCGTGTTGAGAGGTAAAACAGGAGAGGTCAGGGAAGGAGAGAGAAAAAGATAAAAGTATAGGTAGTTAAGGCAGCATGAAGGAAGTCTTTAACCATAAGAAGTATGTATCCAAGTTTCGAGCGCGATATAACACAAGAAACAACTAAATCAAAATTCCCAGGTCTCGTCAACGGATTTGATGGCCCATTCGAACTTCTCGCGGAGGGCCTTGGAGAAGAACTTCTCGATGGGGACGTCGAACTTCTTACTGAAGACGACGGTAAGACGGGGGTCGATATAGTTCTAGACATAGATAAGTATGAAGGACGGATCAACTGGCAGAGAGGGAAATGGGAAAAAAACTCACAATCTTCGAAGTACCCAGGGCAACCTCCTTGTTGTCCTCTTTGTCTTGAGCTTGGAGCTCCATCGTCTCAATACGCTGCTCGAGCTTCTTGATGGCGGTCTCGAGCTTCTCAACAGTGGGAGCCTTGCCTTCGGCTTCCACCTTGCCAGTCTTGTTCTCCTTGTTGAACCTCTTCTCCATGTCCTTAACGACCTCAAGACGAGAATTCAGCTCGCTTGCCTTCATTTCTTTCTCTCCATCAGCAACGAGCTTCTCGTTGTCCTTCTCGAACTTCTTCTGGATCTTTTGCCGTTGTTCTTCAAGCAGGAAAGCCTGGTGTTCCTTGACCCATTCCATGTCCATATCCTCGTCCATCTCGAAGAACTTGGCGCCTTTCTTCTTCTTCAGCGTGGGCTCAAGGTTGAGCATCTGCTGCTTGAAGCGCCAACGCTGATAGCGAAGACCCTTGATCTGATTTGCCCGAAACACATTAGCTGCAATTCAGATGAGGTGTCTGCAGAGTTTGCTTACGCGTTCGCTCATCTTCTCCATTTGGTTGGCATGGGACGCAGCGACAGTCCGCTTGTGGTTACAGAGAATAGCGACCTTGCGGTTGGCATCGTTGTAGGCCTTCACCTTCTCCGCAATGTTACCCGTCGCTTTCATCTCCTTGAGCAACGTAGACATGGTGTGGGAGGCGTTGTAGGTACGGAACACTTTCGCAGTCAAGCCTTGCATGTAAGCAGACAAGTGCTTGTTGAGTGCAGAGGTCTAATGAAGTCAGATCGCGATGATCGTGTGAGCTAGGAGCAGTGCAACATACCGTCAATCGATCGAAAATCTCGTCGCCCTCCTTCTTGGGCGCCTTCTTGAAGATTTTGAGGTTCTTGAAAACCTGCGCATCGACTTCGACTTCATCATAGAACCGTATACTATCCTTACCCAGGAAATCGAAGACAACCTTGTTCGGAGGCTTGAGAGTGACATTCTCATACTTGAGAGAACAACAACCCACGGTTTCAGCCTCGTCTTCACCCTTCTCATTACCTGCACGAAGGGCAAACTGATCGATGAGGTAGACGGCAGTGGCCTTCTGGCGCTCGACCATTAATGCATGCTTGAGGTTCTTCTGGTAATCCTTGCGAATTCGGGCGATATGGTGCTTCAATTCACGAGCCTTTTCGAACTTCTTATAATCACTCTGGCCCTTGACATCGGAATTGGCAGCAAGCATGACGTACTTGTAATTTCCGTTGATGTTCTCTTGCCACATGGCAAGCCATGTGCCTTCTTGGTCGTTCTTCACCTCCTTCCAACTGTGGCCTTCGGGTGGTGGAGGAACAGGGGCGTTTTTCCCGATGTTGATTGTGATCTGCTCCGGCAGAACTCGAGCCTTGACACGGCCGGTCTTGGGATGTTCACCACGACCACGGAACAAGGCCGGCGGTTCGACTCGGAAGTTGCCGACTTTCTGCTTGCGACCGTCCCACATGCAGTACATGTAAGGAGCTTCTTGTTCATCTTTCTCGGCTTTTAAGCGCTTCTTCTCGGCAGGAGGCAAGTTCTTCTTCTCGAGGCGCTTCATGTCATAGTATGCGAAAATGGGTTGAAAGTCACACTTGGAGAACTCTTTGATATCAACCTTGTTGCCTTTGGAGTCGGTTGCGCCCCCGGTCTTCTTGAGAATGTCCCGGAAATCCATGAAGAAATTCTTCTGGAAAGTGGGGTTTTCAACGTGGTGAGTCGAGTTCAGCATGCTGCCAAAGAAACCGGCGACCTCTTCCGCGTCAGGATGAAGATTGACGGGGATGCCGTCATATTTCAACTTAACATTTTTAGGAAGAGGTTCATAAGGAGGAGGGAAGACCACGCCATTGTGTTCGAGCGTAGTCCACTTGATCGTGCCGTCGCCCTTGGTCGG